ATTCATGGATGTTAGATGTTGTTGCAATTTCATGGCTGTATCTGCTATCAAGGCCTGGTCATCTGCAAAGAGTAATTCGTTGATCTTACTAAGATCTTCATTCATGGGCATCATTAGATTCAATCTCATTTCTTCTTCTTCTGCCTTTTCTTCACGTTCACCAGCTATACATTCTGGCAGAAAGTTCTAGTTGTTCGTCCACTTCTGAACTGCAGCCCTAGTCCAGAATCTGAGTGTTGCGTGTGCATGTTTTACAAATTTTATTCACTTGAATGCAGACTGTTGGTTCCTTGCCTCTCAGGCAGATGCACTCCGACTTCAAAGGAAGCTCCCCAATTAGTCGACTTTTTTGACATGCTTTTTTTATAGGCAGTGTGTCTATTCTTGTTTTACCCACAATAGGGCCCTGCAACCCACTTATATGTAAGAAATAGTATGAAATGTGTCGGAGCCGTGTGTTGTTTTGGCTAGAGCCTCGCCTGCGGATCAGAAGGCGGTGGGTTCGGGTCCCGACAGAGCCGAGCTTTTGTTCAAAAATAACCTTGTCAATAGGTCGCAGCCTGGAGTGGGTGCCAGGTAAATCTCGGGAAGTGAAGGCCAATTAGACAATTTAAATCTAGTAATTTTTTATTTTGTTTTAAAGACATGTTATGAGATAATGGACTCGATAACCTGGTTATAAATAGTAAGATTAATGGGAAAAGAATAAAGGAAAGGCAAAGAGATAAATACGTGCATTGTTTGGCCAACCGGAAGGGCAACACTAGCGCACTGGCCTGATCCGTGATTCTGCCGGTCGTTGACAGAGATAGCAAAATATGACTGCCCACGCAAAAATGATGCTTGTGGCGACGATGACGGGGTAGAGATGGTGTTAGAAGAAGAAATGATGATGGTGAAAATAATAAAGATAGCGAAAGGGGTGTGATAATGATGATAGTGAGGATGGCGATGGTGGTGACGGAGCTGGTGGTGACGGAGCTGGTGGTGACGGAGCTGGTGGTGACGGAGCTGGTGCTGACACTTATGATGACTGTGGTTGTGGTGATGGGGATGAGGATGGTGTTGGTTATATGATGATGAAGATGGTGTTGGTTATATGATGATGAAGATGGTGTTGGTTATATGATGATGAGGATTGTGTTGGTTATATGATGATGAGGATGGTGTTGGTTATATGATGATGAGGATGGTGTTGGTTATATGATGATGAGGATGGTGTTGGTTATATGATGATGAGGATGGTGTTGGTTATATGATGATGAGGATGGTGTTGGTTATATGATGATGAGGATGGTGTTGGTTATATGATGATGAGGATGGTGTTGGTTATATGATGATGAGGATGGTGTTGGTTATATGATGATGAAGAGGGTGTTGGTTATATGATGATGAAGATGGTGTTGGTTATATGATGATGAGGACGGTGTTGGTTATATGATGATGAGGATGGTGTTGGTTATATAATGATGAAGATGGTGTTGGTTATATGATGATGAAGAGGGTGTTGGTTGTACGATGTTGAAGATGGTGTTGGTTGTATAATGATGAAGAGGGTGTTGGTTATATGATGATGAGGAGGGTGTTGGTTATATAATGATGAGGAGGGTGTTGGTTATATGATGATGAGGATGGTGTTGGTTATATGATGATGAGGATGGTGTTGGTTATATGATGATGAGGATGGTGTTGGTTATATGATGATGAGGATGGTGTTGGTTATATGATGATGAGGATGGTGTTGGTTATATGATGATGAGGATGGTGTTGGTTGTACGATGATGAGGATGGTGTTGGTTATATGATGATGAGGATGGTGTTGGTTATATGATGATGAGGATGGTGTTGGTTATATGATGATGAGGATGGTGTTGGTTATATGATGATGAGGATGGTGTTGGTTATATGATGATGAGGATGGTGTTGGTTGTACGATGATGAGGATGGTGTTGGTTATATGATGATGAGGATGGTGTTGGTTATATGATGATGAGGATGGTGTTGGTTATATGATGATGAGGATGGTGTTGGTTATATGATGGTGAGGATGGTGTTGGTTATATGATGATGAGGATGGTGTTGGTTATATGATGATGAGGATGGTGTTGGTTATATGATGATGAGGATGGTGTTGGTTATATGATGATGAGGATGGTGTTGGTTATATGATGATGAGGATGGTGTTGGTTATATGGTGATGAGGATGGTGTTGGTTATATAATGATGAAGAGGGTGTTGGTTATATGATGATGAGGAGGGTGTTGGTTATATAATGATGAGGAGGGTGTTTGGTTATATGATGATGAGGATGGTGTTGGTTATATGATGATGAGGATGGTGTTGGTTGTACGATGATGAGGATGGTGTTGGTTATATGATGATGAGGATGGTGTTGGTTATATGATGATGGTGTTGGTTATATGATGATGATGATGGTGTTGGTTGTACGATGATGAGGATGGTGTTGGTTATATGATGATGATGATGGTGTTGGTTATATGATGTTGAGGATGGTGTTGGTTATATGATGATGAGGATGGTGTTGGTTATATGATGATGAGGATGGTGGCGGTGGTGGTGAAGTGGATGAGGATAATAACGATGGTTGTGATGATGATAGTGGTGATGACTGCCGTGAGTGACCAACTGAAAGCACTGACCAAGTGACCAATGTCTGTTCGGTAGATTGATGCTGGGAGTGATGCTGACCACAGCTTTCCTCTCCATGTGGATCAGCAACACGGCCACGACCGCCATGATGCTAACCATTACCAGGGCACTGCTGCTGAAACTGCTCACGGCCTACAAGGCCACACAACGACGACTCACACTGGACACTGTACCAGGTAATTTACACAGGGTCTTTTTGTGTGTGCTCTGTAGCGCCGGCGAGGATCCTGAAATGCTGTGGGTAGATTTTTAACTCCAAATTTTTCCCGGTCAACGCCGTTAGGCTACTCTTTTCGATTTCCAACTGCCAAGGAATTTTTTTTTTACGTGCGCAACAATACATACAGGCGTCCGATCTCACTACCCAGTGACCAGGGCAAATTACTAGAAGTCCAAGTCCACGGGAAAAAATCCCAGCCCTTACCGGGGATTGAACTCGGAACCTCTAGCACTCGAGGCGGACACCATGCATCGAGACCACGCAGCCCCCTGGCGGTAAAGTCAAGTCAAGGACCCTTTCCCACGCCTCCAGATATATTGGGCATATAGGGCTAGACCTATACTTTATAGATCAATCTGTTGCCCTGTGGTTTCTGGGACCCCGTTTGAGGTAAACAAGAACAGAGCCACTGCTTCCCCAACAAGCATGTCGTAAGAGTCGACTAATTGGGGGCTTTATTTTTAGTACATCTGCCGAAGAGGCAAGAAACCAACAGTCTGCATATAAATTAGTCAAATCTGTGAAATTCTTGTGCACACAACGTTCTGGATCTGGAGTAAGACAGAGGTCCGCAAGTAGATAGATAAACTACGTAGGCTGCCTTTACTTCCCAGGACTCAACTTATCTTTAAGCTGTAGTGAGCTCTGAGGCCCCTATCGTTTTGAATTGTACCAGCTATTCTTAGAAAATGTTTAAACATATGCGCTTTTAAAAGATAGGGAATGTAAATATATTGTTTAATTTTTTTGAAAGAAATAATATAAAACGTGTTTGTCAAATCGCAGGGACTGTATTAAATAATCCTCTAAAATGCTCCAAGTTACAATTGCAAACATGCTTTTCTTGATTTCCTAATGCAAAATCATAAAACTATAAGAAAGAGACAAAGTTCTTTGGCCACATAAAGATACATCGAAGAGCATCGTGACAACTGGAAAGATCAGTGAAAAAAGAGTTAGAGGCAGACCAAGAGATATGATGCTGGATTGACTGAAACGATGGCATGGAGGGATATCTGCAAGAGAACTGTTCCAGGCAACCAGGGATCGTGATCTTGGAGACGCATGAGCGCCTACGCCTGTTGGCAGGGCACATTATGATGACGAAAATCCTTGAATATAACATCAGTAGAAATGTTGGGTAACACGTCGCTTTTGGTTTATACACGGGGAAGGATGATGATAAGGAAGATGATGTTGAGGATGAAGAAAGCCTTTAGATGTATTGGGAATATAGGACTAGACCAACAAACTCAACAAAAAAGAACAAACAGCAATTTTTAGACTTCGGACTGGACACTGTGGTCTTCGAGCACACCTGTACAGGATAGGCATAAAAGAATCTGCTGCCTGTGATTGTGGAGCAGAACGACAGACCCCTGAGCACACACTACAGTACTGCCCTAACCTCTCCCAGCAAAGACTGTGGATCTGGCCCAAGGGAGCCACATTGCGAGAGAAGCTATGGGGGACCGGTGGCGACCTTCAACGCACAACCCTATTTGTGACCCAGACGGGACTCAATGTTTAGCATGACTGATGTCGAACGCAGAAAAAGAAGAAAGAAGGACTAGACATATTTATAGGCCGATCGGCTTTTGGTAGGTGATGTGGTCAGCTTCACGCCGACTGCCTTTACTTCCAAAAACTTTACCTAGTACCAATGCAGGATTGGGTCGACATGGAAGCCAAGGTCATTTTTTAAGGGGAACAAAAGTCCGGCTCTGCCAGGACTCGGACCCAAAACCTTCGGATCAACAGGCAAGCGTTGGATAAGGATACTGAATGTGAAAGTTATGATGATATTAATGAAACGACTTTGAACCAGTTGAAAGACTGACTCACGAATAGAACCGATTGCCCACACCAGAAAGAGACAATCTACATTCTTTGGTCATGTGATGAGAAGGAGAAAACTGGAGTACATCGTGGCAGTAGGAAAGTAGGAGGGGAGAAGAGGCAGAGGGAGACTGAGAGAACAGATGCTGGACGGTGTGACATCATAGCATGGAGAATCATCTGCGTCACAGCTGATTGAATGTATACACGACAGAGTGTTGTGGATAGACATGACCACCTATGCCACACAGCGTGGACTTTAGGAAGATGATGAAAAAAAATGATGATTAAACACACACGCACGCACGCACGCGCACACACACCACACACACACACACACACACACACATACACACACGGGGATGTTTAAAACGATAAGGATGATGACTAAAAACAATAATTATGATGATGATGACGATGAAGAGTAGAAGAATGGTGATGACGGACATGAAAATGTCGATGGTAAATGTATGAAAATGTTGATGATGAAGATTACAATTATGTCGAGTCAATCAATCACTTTAGGTATTTCACGTTGCAGATCAAAGCATTGTCACGAGAGAGCTCGAATCAGCAACTGACGGGCGGCTGAGCAAGTATTATGTGTTTTGAGTTTTTATGCATAGTGTATAATATCTGTGAGGTGCAGAATCATGCAATGTCTTGTCGTGAATGAATAAACGAATGATGAATGAATGAATGAATGAATGAATGAATGAATGAATGAATGAATGAATGAATGAATGAATGAATGAACGAATGAATGAATGAATGAAGAAATAAAGGAATGAATGAATGAATGAATGAAGGAAGGAAGGAAGGAAGGAATGAATGAATGAATGAATGAATGAATGAATGAATGAATGAATGAATGAATGAATGAATGAATGAATGAATGAATGAATGAATGAATGAATGAATGAATGAATGAATGAATGAATGAACGAACGAACGAACGAATGAATGAATGAATAAATGAATGAATGAATGAATGAATGAATGAATGAATGAATGAATGAATGAATGAATGAATGAATGAATGAATGAATGAATGAATGAATGAATGCATGAATGAATGAACTTCAATGAATGGGGACATTTCCAAATGTGCTTCATCCAATTCTTCAGTAACCAACAAAGAGTCAACATGTTCATAATATACCAGTTTGAAGTTTAAAAAATTTGAACAACGGAACAACATCATGGCACACGGGTAGTAACCCATTAGAGCTCCGTTCTTCTTCTAACTTAAGTCTGAGTCCGAAGAAGCTCAGCACATTGCACAGACTCTGTAGCACCAGCGAAGATCTTGAAGTACTTTGGGTAGATTTTTAACTTCAAATTTTGCCCGGGCAGCGCTGCTAGGCTTCTCTTTTCAATTTCCAACTGCAACGAGATTTGTTACGTGTGCAACAATGTACACGGGCGTCCCATCTCACTGGCTAGAGTCCACGTGAAGAAATCCCAGCCCTTACAGGGGATTGAACCTGGAACCTCCAGCACTCGATGCGGACACCATGCCTCGAGACCACGCAGCAGCCCCTCTATTAATAGTACCAGTTGCAACCTGATTAGAAGTCCGCCTCTATTTCCCATTCAGTGTTGAATATCTTACAAAACCTCTACACACTCACCTGATGAATTAGTCTTTCAGTCTATGGATTCTCTATTCTATTGCCCCTTGCACTGTCCATTTGACCACTATGTCCACTTTATCACAGGAGCATCAGCCGCTAATCAATCAGCATGCTCGTTACATCGCACACCTGAATGTCCTGATTAAAAAAACAATCTACGATGTTCCTGATCTGAGTCGTACAAGCCACTCCATGCGCCGGACGCCAGTTTCAGTTTCTCAGAAGCTTGCCTGTCACGTCATGTCACACCGTGCAGTGTCACGTTATGCCACGTTATGTAATATAAGGCTCCATCGTGCCACGTATGTTTTGTAGCGTGACCCTAATATTTCGAGCTAAAAGTGGCATGTACAATGCAAGTAAGTTTTTTTTAAAAAGCTTTGATTACTGCTACCATTACCACCACCCCTACTAATACCACCACCACTACAGCTGCTGCTGCTACTACTGCTACTACTACTACTACTGATGCTACTTCTGCTGCTGCTACTGCTGCTGCTACTGATGCTAATTCTGCTGCTGATACTATTACTGCTGCTGCTGCTACTGCTGCTACTTCTGCTGCTACTACTACTGCTGCTTCTACTGCTGCTGCTGCTGCTACTACTGCTACTACTACTACTACTGATGCTACTTCTGCTGCTGCTACTGCTGCTGCTACTGCTGCTACTACTGCTGCTGCTGCTACTACTGCTGCTTCTACTGCTGCTGCTGCTACTGCTGCTACTGCTGCTACTGCTGCTGCTGCTACTGCTGCTGCTGCTACTGCTGCTGCTGCTACTTCTACTACTGCTGCTACTTCTGCTGCTACTACTACTACTGCTGCTTCTACTGCTGCTACTACTACTGCTGCTGCTGCTGCTGCTGCTGCTACTACTACTACTACTACTACTTCTTCTACTATTACTACTACTACTACTACTACTACTACTACTACTACTACTATTACTACTACTACTACTTCTACTATTACTACTACTACTACTACTACTACTACTACTACTACTACTACTACTACTACTACTACTACTACTACTAATGCTACTACTACTACTACTACTACTACTACTTCTACTACTACTACTACTACTACTACTACTACTACTACTACTACTACTACTACTACTACTACTACTACTACTACTACTACTACTACTACTACTACTACTACATTGTATTTAGTTGACTCCTCATGTTTTCCCAATTCCGTCTACTGTAAACCTGGCTGACATCGTCTCCTAGCGTTCCCAATGGAATCACAGACAGTGGCCAGCCAAATGGTGCATACTTCACAGAAGGTTCCGCAGCTTTTCACGACGGAGACGACCCTACATCTACCACCATTACTACAATGGAGACACCCGGAGCTGGTGTGGATGTGCAGCTTCGTCATCGCCATGAAGATGGTCATAAAGCAGAGGTTCAGCTAGAGAATCCGGATTCAGCGATTACAGAGGTTGCCATGGCTATGATCAGTTAGAAAGTCGGATTAAGGTCGCGCAGTTTTTTTGTCGAAACACACACACACATACACATACACACACACACACACACATACACATACACTCCCACACACAGATGTGCTGCCTGCCTCTCTATCTATCTATCTAATCTATCTATCTATCTATCTATCTATCTATCTATCTATCTATCTATCTATCTATCTATCTATCTATCTATCTATCTATCTATCTATCTATCTATCTATCTATCTATCTATCTATCTATCTATCTATCTATCTATCTATCTATCTATCTATCTATCTATCTATCTATCTATCTATCTATCTATCTATCTATCTATCTATCTATCTATCTATCTATCTATCTATCTATCTATCTATCTATCTATCTATCTATCTATCTATCTATCTATCTATCTATCTATCTATCTATCTATCTATCTATCTATCTATCTATCTATCTATCTATCTATCTATCTATCTATCTATCTATCTATCTATCTATCTATCTATCTATCTATCTATCTATCTATCTATCTATCTATCTATCTAGCTATCTGTCTGTCTATCTAGCTGTCTGTCTGTCTATCTAGCTGTCTGTCTGCTTGTCTGTCTGTCTGTCTGTCTGTCTGTCTGTCTGTCTGTCTGTCTGTCTGTCTGTCTGTCTGTCTGTCTGTCTGTCTGTCTGTCTGTCTGTCTGTCTGTCTGTCTGTCTGTCTGTCTGTCTGTCTGTCTGTCTGTCTGTCTGTCTGTCTGTCTGTCTGTCTGTCTGTCTGTCTGTCTGTCTGTCTGTCTGTCTGTCTGTCTGTCTGTCTGTCTGTCTGTGTTTAGCGATTCGCTTGTTTGGTCCAAAATTTCCCGTGTGGTTTAGGGCCCTCCATTCTTGGAAACAAAAGGAATTACCCACGGCCTCACTAACAAGCATGTCGTACAAGACTAATGGCTAGGGTTGTTTCTTTCAAAGCCAGAGTGCGTCTGCATGAGAGGCGAGAAACCAACAGCTTGTATACAAATAAGCCAGATCTGTAAAACTAATGTGCACGCAAAACTCAAGTTCTGAAATAAGACCAAAGTCCACAAATGGATGAGCAACCAGAACTTTCCACCTGTGTTTGCAGTAAGCTAAAGTTAAGAAGAAGTAGATTCACAAACTTTTCAATGTTTAATCACAAAGACATAATTTCTCCATCAGTCCAACGTTTAACTAACCATAAAGACATCATGTCTCTATCAGTCCAACGTTCAATTAACATAATTTCTCCACCATTCCAACGTTTAACTAACCATTAAGAAATCATGTCTCCAAAAATTTTTCAATGTTTAATCACAAAGACATAATTTCTCCAGTAGTCCAACGTTTAACTAACCACAAAGGCATTATGTCTCTATCAGTCCAATGTTTAACTAACCATATAGACATTATATCTCCATCAGTCCAAGGTTTAACTAACCATAAAGACATCATGTCTTCATCAGTCCAAGGTTTAACTAACAATAAAGACATCATTTCTTTATCAGTCTTACGTTTAACTAACCATAAAGACATAATGTCTCCTTCAGTCCAAGGTTTAACTAACATCATTTCTCCATCAATCCAATGTTTAACTAATCATAAAGACATCATTTATCCATCAGTCCAACGTTTTACTAACCATAAATACATCATGTCTCCATCAGTCCGACGTTCAATTAACATAATTTCTCCACCATTCCAACGTTTAACAAACCATTAGGAAATCATGTCTCCATCAATCAAATGTTTAACTAACATCATTTCTCCATCAGTCCAAGGTTTAACTAACCATAGAGACATCATGTCTCCATCAGTCCAACGTTCAACTACCACCAGTTCTCCATCAATCCAACGTTTAATTAACCATAAAGACATAATTTCTCCAGTTCAACGTTTAACTAACATCATTTATCCATCACTCCAAGGTTTAACTACCACCATTTATCTATCAGTCCAAGGTTTAACTAACCATAAAGACATCATTTCTCCATTAGTCCAACAATTAACTAACATCATTTATCCATCACTCCAAGGTTTAACTAACATCATTTATCTATCAGTCCAACGTTTAACTAACCATAAAGACATCATTTCTCCATCAGTCCAGGGTTTAACTAACCATAAATACATAATTTATCCTTCAGTCCAAGGTTTAACT